CCCCAAAACCCCAAAACCCCCCAAAACCCCAAAACCCCATCAAAAGAAATTTGAAATAAGTAAATTTTAACGTCAATTAAATTAATTATCAATTTTATCTTAAATAAACTCAGAGAATGTAACTTGTCGAATCTGGGTTTATATTGCATTATTTTAATTTTATTATTAGTATAATCTGTTTCTCTCTATCTCTAACAAATCAAATCATTCTTAATTAGCTTTGTCAACTTAGCAAGTTTGATAGAGAGAAATTTTAGTCGTCAGCAATAGTTGGTACATCACTATTGCTTCTGCTTTTAATTATCAATTCAATATTGATATTAGTTTATCCTAATTCATTCCAAGATGGTTTAATTTTTTAGACTTCAAAATTTTTCTGTTTTAATTATTATTCTCTTGCTCCATCTTGTTTTGATTATTTTAATTCTGGGATTATTCTTATGAATAAATAGAATGTGCCATAAGCAAATGAAATACACCCAAGAATATCACAGGCGTATTGAAATCCAACAAACTAATATAAAAATCCACCGACGATAGGGGCGAACACAGCACCGAGACCATAAGTTGCACTATTTATACTAGCAGCCAAATCATTTAATTGTTCACTATCTTAAATCCCTTCTTTTTACTTAATCTAATCTATGATTAAATTCTAAGTAAATGATTTCTGGAATTAGGGTTGGACAATTCATAGCGAGAGTGCAACCAAGGATTCCAACTCCTATGACTGAGAGAGTTAGGTTACTATTAGTAGATATATGAATAACAAAATCTTACTCTCCTAAGTTAAATATCTTTGATGGCCCAAACATAAATAATGCTAAAGTTGTCAGATAAAATGAAGTTAAAGTTAGGTATTTTCTAGAAATTATTCTTGTTAAAAGACTGATGCAGCAACAAGTAATTGCATATGTCAAACATTAAAATGAAAAGAAATACCCTAGAATTTTTAAATTAGGAATTTATGATTACCAACTGAGTGAGAGCCAACTGCTTGATCGTTAATCAAATGATCTGCAAGACAGGAATCATGAAACAATACTAAAATCTAGCACATTATAGTTGAGAATGAAGCAATCTTAGCATTCTTATTCGTAAGAAAGATTATGTAATTTATTTTTGTCTGAATAAGTTAGGAATGAAAGGTAAATATAAAAGAATACCTTGATCATTAGCTAAAAATGTTTCCATCTATTAATTTTCAGCATCTTCGTAGTTTCTCACGATAAATATCTGTTATTCTTCTTCGATCTCTAATTATGATGCCATTTAAACAGCAATCAGAATAATCAACGAAAAGTAAAGAAATGTTAATTAGAATCCAACTTCATTGTATATCATCTATCCAATGAAGGGACCTGCCATGATTCCCAGTCCTGCCGATGTCTAAATGAAACCTATGTATTTTTCTCTCTCTTCCTTAAATTCATTGCATATAATAGAATAACCTAGAAACAGATTGAATAATTATGAATTACTTGATGTAAATATTATAGAATCCCCTGCTCCCTAAAATAATCTGAATACTAGCGCTAGCCAAAAGAATAAAAGACTAAATGAATCATTGATATAAAGGAATATACTCATAGTTTTAAGGAATAAAACCAAGACACATAAATCCAAGCGTCGCAATCATTAGCAACAAAGTTCCAAATATCAAAAGCCTTTTTCTTCCGTATATTTTGAGTAAAGGACCGATGATTAGTGAAACTACAAGGAACGAGAATTGAAACATTCTAGTATCATCGGTTAAAGAAATAAAATACTCTTACGATAAAATAATTCCAATCATTCCATCTCCTATAGATATGTGATTCAGAGATCTATACTGAGGCAAGAATGTTGCGATGTTCAAATAAAGTAACTGAGGTATTGTTATGGAAAACATAAGTTGAATAAGTACTCTCGTTTTCTTTGACATCAAACTTTGATTTACAGTACACCCAGACATAATGATATTTTGATAAGGGGAAAGAATGCTTTGCTCTTCTGATTATTATATTGTCGTATTGCTATATTTTCTCTCGAAATTTAAGTATTTTTAGTCAACTAGGATTTAATTTTTGGACTTCTGTGATGTGTTACAGCCTGATTTCTTACTTAAAATTTTGTTTTATTAATTAAATGTTATCTTGAGTTTTTTATTTGCTTAGCTCGGAGTATCTAGCATTGTTGCTAACGAACTTAATGGAAAAAATTGATTAAAATTTGCAAATAAAATATTTAAGAGTCTCAAAAAAAAATTAAGATTTATCCAGATATTCCTTGGCTTTAAATTAATTGATTATCACACAATAAAAATTTGAAATTTTCAGCAATAAGGGGTTTTGGGGTTTTGGGGAGATCGGAAGAGCA